TGTGATGCAAAACGGTTATTATTTGGTAAGGGCACCCAGGTTGGATGCAGCACATGGCGACTGACATTCTGAAACACTTCATTATCTTTTTAGCCCTATGGGAAAAAGTTTGGAATTCTTTGAGAACTAGTTGTCTACTCGCCAAAACATTATAAAAGCAGTGAGGCTTACCATAGAGCATCAACAGTTCGAACTCCTCTAAACAATGAGTTTGGAAAAAGGCCTTGTGGCTGCTTCTTCTGTTGCTGCTGTTTTAGCTATGACTGCTTGTGTGATTTTTTATCCAGCACTGTTCAGGGAGATCCATGAAGTACACGATATGGTAAGGACGGTAACCCTCATCTAATATGTGATGACCTACGCCCTATGTTTAGGTTCTTGATGGTGTAGCGGTGTTTCGCACGGAAACCGACTCAGCGTGGGTAGAGCTGATGGATGTGCAGCTGATGATTTCGCCAGAGTCTAAACGCTACGAAAACCCATTCTCGGTGTTTCGACAAAAAAGGCAAAGGCCTCTTCCGCCATGGTGTGTTTGTGAACTAAAGCCTGTCACTTGCCCGCCCGGACCACCTGGACCACGTGGACCTCCAGGAGCGCCAGGTTAGTTCTTATCATTTGATAATTATGATATTATCAATCATTCCTAGGAATACCTGGAATGCCCGGTCCAAAGGGAAGAGACGATACGACAGTGTACGCACCAATTCAGTGCCCTCCACCAGATCCCTCATGTATCAAATGCCCTCCAGGACCACCGGGACCACCAGGACCATGCGGCGCAACCGGATTAAAGGGACCAACGGGCCGACCTGGGGAGCCTGGGCCAAAGGGCAATAATGGTCGTCCTGGTCCTCCAGGTCCTATAGGCGATGCTGGACCTTGCGGCCCTCGTGGACCCAAAGGAAGACCCGGTACGAAAGGCAAAGATGGAATCCGCGGCAAAGGATTACCTGGTCCAGTCGGACAAAGAGGACCTATGGGAATGAAGGGCAAAGCTGGTACTGACGGTAAGCCAGGTATGCCTGGAGAACAAGGCCCTTGTGGTCCCGCCGGTCAAAACGGTTCTCCTGGAATGCAAGGACCTGATGGCCTTCCAGGTGCACCAGGAAGGATGGGTCCTCCAGGTAAGGATGCCCATTACTGTCCTTGCCCTGATCGAGGTTCGGCTGTCTCTCAACCGGCATCGGGGTATTATTCTGGCGGTGCTTCAGCGGCTCCTCAGCCCGTTGCTCCTCAGCAATCAGCGTATTATCCCGCTAGTGCTCCTGTTGTTGCTCCCCCGCCAGCAGTCGCTCCTCCGCCATCACCGTTTTATTCTGGCAGTGCTCAACCTGCTGCTCCCCAGCCAGCTCCATATTATCCTGGTCGCGGTCCTGCCGCTTCTCAGAGAGCACCGTATTATCCTGGTCGTGCTCCTGTCGCTCCTCAGGCAGCCCCTTACTATCCTAATCGCACTCCGGCAGGTCCACCAGCAGCGTTTCCTGAAACGATGAACGGAGGAGCCATGGGATATGGAAGAAAAGCAGCGAGGAGAATTAAGAAGAAGCTGAAGAGAAACTAAATGTGTGACTTATTGTTTTTGACCTTGCAAAATAATAAAAATTTCCGGCGCTCGGTATCTGGATTTTCTGGGTAACTCGACCTCCCCAATTTTTAACCTCTCTTTGAATAGTTTTTCCTGAGTAGTACAAGGTTAATCTTAGGCGTAAGAAATTCTCGTTTCATTTTTCAAATATAAATGAGGAACTTGTCGAAAATCAGCAGCTGCGTTCTTGGCAATTCAAAAGGATAGAATTTTTTTAACTTGTTTT